ACACTGGCAACTCAGTAACGTGCCTGACTTAACACTTCTTGTGGAGCTTTGTCTTCTGAGTATTTTATATCCATCTACCATAATATATTGGAATAGTGTTGAGTTTCATAGGTAAATGGCATTTAAATACCGTTCATGCTAAGATTCTAACTCTGAATCAGAATAGCATGGAAAGGATATATTCTACAATACAAAACAGCTGTTTTCTAATCAGGACTTATATAGCAAGATAAACTGACAGTAAGATATGAAATCCCCTTTGTAGCTCAGTCTTCCCTGAGCTAATACTGCTTTTGCAGCTTGTGCGTGTGTGTGTATGTGTGTGTGCGCATGTCTGAAAACTGGTATGATTTTGTTCTAGCAATTAAAGAAAAAAAGACTTTGAACCCTTTTAGTGGATTCCATGCCCTTGCATTTCAGTGTTTTCTATGTATTAAGTTATAGTCAAAAAGCTTTTAAATAGTTGAGCTTTTTAATGGTGACACTTTATTTTGTATCTATTTATATATGTATGTATATCTTAGAAAAGCACTTTGTTTAAAAAAAGAAAAAAAAGATATTGCATTTTATATGATTCCTGCCATTTGCTGCTAACTCTGGGCTGGTCAGAATGCTGCAGCGATACTTGATCTAAATAAAACCTGGCAGTAAAATGTAGAGTAAAGTTAAGACCTTTGCTGGTTTAATCTTATTGTAAAGATGACATAGGCAAGCTGTGCAGCTTTACATTTTAACCAGGAGACTCTGTGGCATTTAAAACAGTCTAGAAATGGTTGTACTTTTAATGCCAGTAACAATCTGCTTCCTCTAGTGTCATTAAGTATACGTTTAGTGTATAATTATCACAAAGATTTAAAAAACCCAAATATTCATGTTTTGTTTGGGGAAATTGTGGCATGCATTTTTGGCTGATTATCTTTAGAGGAGTTCTAAAGGTTTTCACTCTTCATACATGGGATGTGGATCTTATTGAAGTCTTTGGTCATTTTCCAAGCGAAGACGTTGTGGATATTCTAACGTCCCTCAAAAGCAATTACCCACTTAAAAAAAAAAAAA